AATGGTACCTAATCCATGCTCTAGTATACTTTAGACCTAAGTGCTGGGTAGCTCTAGAACTGAAGAGTAGGAGAGATTTGATGTGCTCCATCCAGCTGGGAGGTTGCAGTCAGAAAAGAAAACAGATCTCTGGCCTAGACCTGTTTCCCTCTAGTAATCACACCCGTTTGAACAGAGGTTGGTGAGCTTTTTGTGGAAAGGGCCAGACAGTAAATATTTTGGGGTTTGCAAGCGAAAGTTTCTGTTGCAACTGCTGATTCCCTCTGTTAAGGTGAAAGCATCCATAGATAACACAGAAACAAATGGACTTGTCTATGTTCCAGTAAAACTTTATTTATAAAAATAGGCAGCAGGTTAGATTTGGGCCACAGTTGGCTAACCCTTGCTTTTGAACAATGTGTTTGAAACTCCAGGTCCCTGCTTGTTAGTGGTCCTTATCGCCACTCTCTGAGGATCAGGGTAATTAGCTCACAAAGCTAGATGACAGAGACCACGCATCCAAGTCTGCACTCACCCCACTCCACCCTGCTGCCTCTTAGAAAAAGACAGTCTACATAACTAGAACCCACGGACACAGAGGAAAGGTTATCCCAGAGAGCTGATTTGGGACTGAAAAGCAACCCTAATGATTTAAGTGTGGCTTGCCAACATTGTGTGACCCTAATGCTTAACACAGGTGTGTTTCAGAATTCAGAACGTTCTTGACTTTAGAAAGGCAATATGGTGCACATAACATATATTTTGTAACATTCTCTGCTGGTTCTGGGTCAGCACCCTGTAATCAAACACACAAAATTTCTAAGTCAAAGAATATAACTGCTTATGACACAGGGAGTAATGATTATAGGTAGATTCCCATCAGTTCAGGTCTGGTGCTGGTGCCCAGGGAGTTAACAGGAAAACATTTCATTTGGGGGCTTTTTGGATTCAGAAGTTGGGATAAGAGATGTGGCCCGATACGGTGTGCTGGGAGCTGACTTGTGCCAGCTCTCTAGAAAGCCCGCTTTATGTACCTCTTCGCAGCTCGCAGTCACTGAGGACATGTTACTTGGTAGGCTGAAATCAGCTGTGATGGGAATATTCACACCATGATCATCAGCAAATACTACAAACTGTGGTCCCTTTCTCTGAGCCGATTAAATATCACCAGCACAACACTGTGTGTGTCTGTTATCAGTATAGTACATTTGTCTATTTATATCATCATGGTAAACCAACTTGCTCATTGTATGCCGTGCAGATAAAAAGGCAGAGGTTTTCAGGGAAGCATAGAATGTAAAAATGAAGGTGATCAGACAAAGGCAGTAAGAGATAGTGAGGAAGAAAAGGGACTTTGGGCAGATAGACCTGAGTTCAAATTCTGACGCCATCATTTGTAGACTGGGTGGCTCTGGGCAAATCTGTTACCTTCTCTGGGCTTTGGTTTACACATTTGAAAAACGGGGACTGTTTTGGTCCTCTAGTACCACTCTAACAGAAAAATACCACAAGCTCCCGTTCTCTAAGATTCCTGATGTACTACAGGATCCTGCAGTTGACAGTCAGGTGCTTTCCTATTGTTTCATCTTACATGTCAATTAGTAGGTACGATCTCCTTATAAAGACACGATCCTGGACTTCTCTTGAGCATGTTCCTAGAAACTGATAATGTAGGGTTCTTGTTCCATGGAAAGCTTTTGGTCATTCACTTGTTCATTTAATAAGCATTTATTGACCATCTAGTGAGTGTATTGTGCTAAATGCTGGTGATACTGAGATGAAAAACACATAGACCCTTCTTATAGTCTGGTGGGGCAAGGAAACCAACTATGTAGATGCAGGGAGATTTAGGAGGTTTTTGTAGTAATGTGGGTGAAAAATGATGATGATGTGAACCAAGACGGTAGCAGCAGGAATGGAAGGGCGATTATCCTACTCAAAGATAAAGCCTGTAGAACCGGGTAATTGGGGAGTGATCTTGCTTTCTCCCTTTCCCATCCCAGAGCTCTGGCTTTGCTTTAGGTAGGCTGTGGGACCATTTATCAATACACAATGTCCATGCAGAGGAATAAGTTTTGGTAGAAGTTGTTGGTCCAGTTTTGGACCATCTTAGTTTTGAGGTGCCTGTAGGGCATATGGTAGGATGACCACATAACTGATTGTACACACCTGAACTCTGATGAGAGTGAATGGGAGGTGCTTTAACCATTAAGCTGGGGTATAAAGGGGACCTGTCCTGGACAAACCCAGATATATTTACACAGATAAAGACTACCAAGCAGAGATATTTGAAGATGAAGCCACTTTGGGAGAATGCACAGAGGGAAGAAAGCAGTGGGATAAGTGGAGTCCTGGGGAAATATTTAAGAGGAGAAAAGAATGTGGCCATTGAGGTCACAGGAAGACCTGGAGAGAGTGTCCTCCCTGAACCCCAGGCTCCCAGGAATGAGTCGTCTTGCCTATTGTGTGAGCAGAGGAGCCTCTCTGAGTGACCCCTTATTAGCTAAAGCTCATCCACAGTGAGAGGTGAGAGGTCATGTACAGCCAATGACTGCTTGGGCAGCGTCTGACCACGTGGCATCGAGTGCCCATAGGTTATAATGGAGCTCAGATATCCCAGTTAGAGAACATAGCGGACGCAGCACCTTCCAACATGCGTCGCATGTATCTCGTCTCGTATGAAAAGCAGTTTGCTGCCAGTCATATGATGGTACAGTACCTGTTGTTGTTGTTGTTATTTGCTGTCAAGTCGGCCCCGACTCATAGCGACCCCTCCTTGGGTTTCCAAGGCAGTATCACTATGGAAGTAGGATTGCCCAACCTTCCTTCCGAGGAGTGGCTGGTGGGTTTGAACCGCTAGCCTTCTGGTTAGCAGTCAAGTGCCTTAGGCACTATGCTACCAGAGCTCCTGTACAGTACCTAGATAGCCTAAAATACATACCTTTTGATAGTCATATAATTGTCTGTGTTACTGTCTTATGGATGTACTGCACTTTCTACCTAAAAGCTTTACCATATAGCTAGCTGTATGTTTTAATTCATAGGCAGCAACATCCAAACTCACGTATCATGTGTTTCTTGAAGGTTGTAGCGTTCTCTCTCTGGTCAATTTTCTTTAGAAAATATTACTGTGGAGTGTGTCACAGCTCCCAGATGTAGTGCTAGTGACAGCACCAGCAAGAGGCAAAGGAGAAGTATCGATTTGGAGGTAAAACAAAAAGTTATTAAATGATGTTGTGGTTACGTGCTGTCAAGTTGTCTCTGACTCATAGCAACCCCACCTTGGGTTTCCCAGGTGGTATCACTACGGAAGTTAGGATTGCCCAACCTCCCTTCTGAGGAGTGGCTGGTGGGTTTGAACCGCCAGCTTTCTGGTTAGCAGTCAAGTGCCTTAGGCACTATGCCACCAGAGCTCCTTATTAAACAATATGAAGGGGGAAATTCAGAGAGTGCTATTGGTTGCAGTTTGGGCATGTTACAGCTGACCATCATTATGATCTTCAGAAACAAAGAAAATATTCTTCCAGCCATTAAAAGATCGACTCTACTGAAAGCTACAAGGCTAATGGAAGTATGAAAGGGACCTGCATCAGAAATGGAGAAATTGCTGATGATGTGGGTTGAGGACCATAACGCAAAAGCAGATCCTTCTTAGCATGTCGATGATCACTGCTAAGGCATGATGCTTGCTTGAGATGCTCAAAGAAAAGAAAGTAGGACCTTAAAGAAAAAGTAGACTATGATACAGTGTTTGCCTAACAGCCAGATCACATAACATCCTACTCCCAGAACCTGTCGTGGACATGAAGCAACATGACTGTACTGAAGGAAAGGGTTTTTACCTTTCACTAGAATACAGTATTTGAAGATGCCTTATGTTTTAGGAAATACAACTCTCTTAAGTGTGTCTGTTTAATAGTCACTTGGCCAGAATCTGCTTGTTCAGATTTAATGTAAATCCAGATGGTATTTTATGTTGTATTTTCTCTTCAGGTTACCAGTTACTTAGTCAGATATAGTGAATACAATCACTGGGAGCTTAAAGTAAATTTCTAGTCAAGAGGTAGGACACACTTAGCTAGATCAGTCCTCTAACATTGAAAATCACAAAACAACACTGCTGTTTCTTCCTTAGGAAGTCAGTAGAAAAATACTTTGCATTTTTAGTGGGTTGAGGCTGGCTGTTTTCCCCTCAACGTTTTATTCTGGAAATTTTCAAACACAGAATTACAGGAGTTATACCCAGCGCCTAGATTCTCCATTAACATTTTACTGCACATGCTTCATCACATCCCTATCCATCTATCTAAGGAGCCCTGGTGGCCAAGTGGTTAAGTGCTGGCTGCTAACCAAATGGTCAGCAGTTCAAACCCACCAGCCTTTCTGCAGGAGAAGGATGTGGCAGTCTTATTTCTGTACATATTTGCAACCTTGGAAACACTATGGGGCAGTTCTTCTCTGTCCTGTAGGAGCACTGAATCAGAATTGACTTGTGGTAGATTTTGGTTTGAGTGCCCATCTGTCTGACCCTCTAGTTGTCTATCAGGCTATCTTGGATGTGTTTAAAGTAAGTTGGCTGATTGTTTTTCTGAACAGTCTTATCTTTTTTCCTAAACATTGCAGTTAGTGTCAACACATTTTCAGGTGTTTTCAGCTCATACTCTTTCCTATTTCTAGAAATCTGAGGTTGTTAATAATCTCTGTCAAACTTGCAACAAAGACAAAAGGTCTGGTGAAAAGCTTATTTAGGAGGAAGTGGGAGGGGAGCTGTTGTATTGCGGTGAATTGGGGTCAGTGTCATGAGACAAAGTGTATGTGAACTGCTGTATGGAAAGTGAATTTGCTCTGTAAATTTTCACTCAAGTCACACACAAAAAAAAAAAGTCTTAAGCCTGTTTAGTGCTCTCTTTCTCAGTTGCTCTATAATTTAGACACACCTTTTTAAGTTATCAACAATCATTGCTATTTTTTAAAATACATTTTTCCTGTTCTACATAAATGCTTACTTATGTTATTTTCAGAGTGGAGAGATCTACGGACCAAGTCATCAAGCCGGTCAATGTGGGAGCACTCTCCAAATGGGTCGGGAAGATTCCTCCAGATGTCTTACAGGACATGGCGGTGATTGCACCCATGCTTGCCAAACTTGGATACGATCCCTATGCCAATCCACCAAACTACGGGAAACCTGATCCCAAAATCCTTGAAAACACTAGAAGGGTAAGTGAGGTTTTTAACTTGACTGAGAAAACTGCATGTGTCATTTGGGTCGTTTTCTTTTTTCTTATTTATGATGAGAATAATTTTAAATTAGAAGAATTCTATTTGTAGACTGCTTCATTATCACATATCTCCCACTGCATTTTAAGAGTACCTCTGGCTCTTCCAAAGAACTGTGGAAACAGCCCTTTAAACATATTTGCCCACATTCTGGAACTGGTGGTACTCACTGTTGGGGAGCTTTCATCTCAGAGCTCATTGTCACTAATTAGTATAGACATCAGGATTATTGGTGATCTCATTTACCTCCAGTTTCTTCTATCTTAAATCTAATGACTACTTCACTGTTACACCTTTGTCTAGATGAGGCATGGCTTCCTGATCTTCGAAGGCTAAACACTGGCTATGTTAGAAGAGTCTACAGAGACGATAGACTGGCCCTGGAATTGAGAGAAGTTGCTATTCAAGTGAAATTAGTTTTTCTTGTAATAAGTTACCCTCACATGTGTAAGAAGCTTTGTTGCAGAAAGCTGAAAAATCAAGGAATGAATTTGAAAATCTACTTCGCCAGTTGAGTCTATTTCACATCAGTCCAGTGTACTCTTTGGAAATTACAGTGGAATAAGAGCCTTGTTAGCATAAGCTCACAGATAGGTTATTGAATTTCAAGATGAAAATTCCTTGGCTTTCTCTGATATTTCCTCATGTTCTCAGTGCTGTCTCTTCCCTGGAACCTTATAATATAAGGTCTTCCATTCTGTCTTTTTGTTAACATCTTTAATTGACAGATATTTTTAGAATGTGAGGCTAATTTCACATTGATTCCTTTCTCATAGGTATGATCTTCATTTCCCTTTTTCAGTTCTGTATGAAGACTTATCCTCTTGAGAACCTTTAGGTAGGAAGATAAAATGTTAAAATGATCTTTGTATCAGCTCATTGTATGAAACTTACAGAATAGAAAAGATAAGAGAACAAAAACCATCATGTATGTTACCACCCAGACATGTATCATTCTTAATATTTTGATACATCTCTCCTCCTTCTCTGCATTTTGTCTAAGATCGTACAACCTTACCTCTCTGTATACAGTCTTGTATCCGACTTTTTTCTCTAAATATTCATCAGCACTTGCCCATTTTGCACTCTTTTTAAACATCATGTTTTAGTTACTTATCATCATGTGTGCCATCTTAAATTCTTTCTGAAACACAGTAGGAAATGAATGAGTGAATGAATGAATGAATGACCAGACAAAATATATTTCCCTGGTAGATATTCTGTAATTCATTTGACCATTTTTCTTCTGTTATGTACAATTTTCACATATGGACATTTTTGTACACACTATATTTTAGGGTTTGTTTTTCTGTTAACGTTAGATTAATAGAAGTAGAATTAAACCAAGTCAAAGTATCTGAGACTTTTTTCAGTTGCTTTGATATATGTTGATAAATTGTTTTTTAAAAATGTTTGTAACACCTGTTATCTGGCGAATGGAGCACAGGAGTGAGCTTTGTACCACACTCTCACCAGCATGATGTAGGTGGTTTTCTGTTTACAGTTTTGTTGTGTAGTGCCTAAGGCATTTGACTGCTAACCAGAAGTCTGGCAGTGCAAATCCAACAGCCACTCCTCAGAAGGAAGGTTGGGAAATCTACTTCCCTAGTGATACCATCTTGGAAACCCAAGGAAAGGTCACTGTGAGTTGGATCCGACTCTGACGGCAGTGACTTTGGTGTTTTGGTTTTGGTTTAATTAATATAATTGAACATTTTTTAGTTGTTAACTATATGTATATGTTCTTTTATGAATGATTTGTTAAGTTTTTAAAAAGTTTTGTGAGCTGCATTTTCTAAAGATGAGGCATACATCAATCTAGCCTGGTGTGTGTATAGTCCAGGTAATTGGTAATTCATAACTTTCTCCTTTCCACAGCACTGAAAGGCCTTTTATAAAGCAAGATATATGTACAGATGATAGCTTGAGGGTTCCCAGCCAGTAGACATTACTATTTTCTTACATGAAGTTGGCTTGGCTGGAAACTTCTTGCCTTTCCCAAGTGGTAGGTTGCAAAGAGCACTGTGGTTTGAATCCATGTGACTAGAAAACTTGTTTCGTGCATGCCTGTGGCTTTTGGAAGGGTTTAAAAATTCACAATGAAAAAAACCCCTCTTTTTATATCTCTGTCTCTAATGTGACAGATAGTTTTGAGGAAGGAAAGATGAAGTGTGAACTAAAACTGTTTTTGTGCCACTTGTGATAATGCCTATAAGCTGACATTCTTGTTTTGTGGGGTTGGGTTTCATAGACCATCTGGAAAACCCAATCCTATGTATCCTCAAAGCTACTTTCCCTGTAAAACTTCAGATCCCAGTAGATCCAGCATTGACAATCTTGAGGTTTCATGAAATTATGCTTAAAAAGGGATTGTCAGTTGTAAGCTGTGACATGAGATGGACTTCAGAGAAAGAGGTGATGCTCCCTTAATCATGGGGTAGGAATGGGTGAAAATCCACCTATTGACTGGAATCATAGAACCCAAAGTTCTAGGCCCACAAAGTACTGCTTTTCATATAATTTTGGGTGGTCCAGAGGTATTGGTGCCTGAGTCAGTGCATTTTTGGGATGTTTTTCAATTTTGAATAGAAAGTCATGTGCTTCTTGGTTACTCTGACTCAGATGGTAATTTAGAAATGAATTACTAGCATCCTTCTTACCCTCTCCCACCATCATCTCTAATCCCAAAGTTACAACACATTTCAGTAAATAGTCCCTGGGTAGCGCAAATGGTTAGGTGCTGACTCACTAATTGAAAGGTTGGTGGTTCATACCCACCCAAGTACCTCAGGAGTAAGGCCTGGAGATCTGCTTCTGAAAGGTTACGGTTTTGAAAACCTATGGAGCCATTCTATTTTGTGCATATGGGGTCACCATGAATCAAAATCAACTTGATGGCAACTAATAACAACAACAGTGAGTTGGTATGAGGAACAGAGTCTTTGGAGGACACCGGTCAAGCCAAAAAGTGCTGCAAAGACCTGGTGGCTAAACCTGAGAGTAAGGGGAGAAACAAATCCAGGTATGAGTGGATCTTCGGTTGAAACCTTAGTGGATAGTACTGTAGTCAAATGAAAAGCAGCTACAAAGGATTTGTCAGTTTTGCCATGTTTTCAAAGAACCAGATCTAGTTTTTGTAATTCTTTTTGTCTGTGTTCTATTTCTTTGAATTCTGCTCTTGTCTTTATCATCCTCTCTCTCATCTTTATTTCCTTTTTTATAGTTATTTCAGGCTTACTTCATCTTTGCTTTTCTAGCTTCTTAAGGTGGAATCTTAGCTAAATGATTTTAGATTTGTAGTCTTTTTAAATATGGACCTTAACAGCTATACCTTTCCCTGTAAACACTGCTTTAGCTGCATCCCACTAATATATATTGTACTTTCATTATCATTTAGTCAAAAAATATTCACTAATAACTCTGTAATTTTTGTCTTTGACCCATGACCTATTAGAAGCATATTGTTTAAGGTTTTTCTAGATACTGTATTGATGTTTAATTCTTATTTAATTCTACTGTGGCTAGATAACACATTGTATGATTTTGATCCTTTTGAGTTTATTGAGACTTCTTTTATGGTCCAGCATGTGTTTTATCTTATTCAGTGGACCATTGCACATGCAAAGAATGTATTTTCTGCATTTGTTGGATGTAGTGTTCAAGTGTGAATTAGATCAAGACTGCTGATAATGTTCAGATCATCTGTGACTTTGCTTATTTTCATGCATCCTGGACATTGTGAATATTAGACAGACTCAGGGTTCCTTTATAATCCACTGGAGAATGTTTGTATTTTCATTTTGTCAGACAATCAACCCAGGGCTTGTCTGATCTCTCCTCATGGTTAAGTTCAGGTTATGCACCCCCAGCCAGAATATTGAGTAAATGGTACTGTCCCCCTCTCCTGATCTCATCTGGAGGTGTGTTATGGCCATGCCCTCTGTTGGTGACATGCACTTTGATCTGGCAGGGTGTTTTCTAGTGTCTGCACTCTGTGGTTATTGTTTTCTCCCTTTCACCTGGAAAGCAATCATTGTGGAGACACTTTGAGACTGCTGTTCATCAGACTCAACACCCTGTTAGCATCCACTGATAATCCTCACCCAAACCAGTCTTCATGATGATAGTTGACACCCTAGTTAGCATCCACTGATAGTCCTCACCCAAACCTGTCTTCATGTTGGTGGTTGCAAAATGATGATGTTTCCATGGATTGTGCTCATTGTCAAAATATTCTGCCCCCAATTGTATCCATTAGGGTAATGGCAGGAAACAGATGGCATACTGAAAAGCATTTAGCAGAAAAGATTTTACCGAAGGAGTGATTCACTGGGGTGTGGCCATGATTGAGGGAACCAGTAGGGATGATGAAGCACCCAGGATGGGAAGCCATTCCACCCTGAGGCCTGAAGAGGCAAAGGGAGGGAATGCTGTTACCAGAGTCTATGGAAGCGTTATAGAAGAGGAACTATGACGTGCTCTGGCTCTTGAGGACAACAGCCGGTGGCTGCACAGTGGCAAAGCAGAGGGGGTAGAGGGCACGAGTGTACTGACGTCTCCCTCCTGCTGCTCTGACCTGTCTGGCTCACCGCTGCCCAGCTGCTGGTCTGAGTGAGGACAGCTGGGTGATGCAGTCCATGGAAGACAGCCTTCAGGGGCACAGAGAAAGACAGAATGCAATGAGGCAAGTGGCAACAAGCACCTTACCAGCCAGGATTTTATTATGTGACAAAACAGGCAAAGAAAAGACCTTCTCAGAAAATACACCGTTCCTTTCTTCTTCCTGAAATGAATACTAAATGCTACAGACACATACACACAGATTTTATAAATGGGGAGCTCAGTTCATATCCTTAGAAGGGCGGGTTGATTACTAGGAATACTTTGGTTTGTGATACATGAATCTCATTTTCACTCAATTGTAGTGGTTTGATGAGATTTGAGGAGGGAACATTGTCAAAATGATTCTAGAGTTGAAGCGGGCAAAAATAACTAAAATAGTTTTTTGGGGAAAAGAGACTAATGAAAACTATCTAGACTGCAGCTCTTAAATGAACAGAGATGGCTGTTTTCTCATCTCAGAAATCATCTCCAAACCACCACCACAACAAAAAATAGAGATGTAAATGCCATTTAAGACTTGGAGGAATCTGCAGCCGCAAACGACAAGATATACATGCAGCGACAGTCAAACAAAAACAAGAGAGACACCAAGATGCCAGTGAAGGTTCAGGAAATGCAGTGAAGTTCAAGGAAAAGTGGACACCGAGGTGACCACCATTTGGTGAGAGCACAGGTTTCCACAGTAATTGCAGGTTCTGATTGCAAACCCAGGA